CATCATCTTCATCATCTTCATCATCTTCATCATCTTCATCATCTTCACCCTGGGGTGGGACCTTCATACCCGGGGGGGGTCATATCCCAGGGGTGGGTCCATCCCCTGCTGCTCCCAGCAGGATCCCAGCACCTCCCGGTGACCCCAGCACCATCTCCCAGTGATCCCAGCACCTCCCAGTGGTCCCAGCACCTCCCAGTGACCCCAGCACCTCCCAGTGACCCCAGCACCATCTCCCAGTGCCTCCAGCATCATCTCCCAGTGATCCCAGCCCCTCCCAGTGATCCCAACACCATCTCCCAGTAATCCCAGCATCTCCCAGTGATCCCAGCACCTCCCACTGATCCCAGTATCTCCCAGTGATCCCAGCCCCTCCACTGATGCCAGCCCCTCCCAGTGATCCCAGCACCTCCCAGTGATCCCAGTATCTCCCAGTCATCCCAGCCCCTCCCAGTGATCCCAGCACCATCTCCCAGTGATCCCAGCACCATCTCCCAGTGATCCCAGCCCCTCCCAGTGATCCCACCCCCCGTTTCTCCCCCACAGGACTCACTTGCCCCCCGGCCCCCACATCATCCTCTGCAAGCCCAAGGTGCGTCCCAGGTCCCCCGAAACCATCTTGGTGATCGATGAAGACCCCCGGACCTACGTGGTCACCCGTTGGACCTAAGAGGCAACAGAGGAACCTCCAGAATCTCCCCGTTGCTCCCACACCCGGAATAGGCAGGACCCAGAACCCCAGGAAACCTCTGGAACCCCACAGGCACATCTGGAATGCCAAGATGCATCTAGAACCCCATAGACACATCTAGAACCCCATAGACACATCTAGAACCCCATAGACACCCCTGGAACCCTGTAGATGCCTCTAGAACCTCATGGACCCCTGTGTTTGGGATCCCCCGTGCTTGGGATCCCCCCTCAGTTCCAATCCCCTCCTTTCCCTTTTTGCTTCCCTCAATAAAAGGGGAATTTTCGCTCTTGATCCGCAGAGCCGAAAACCGGGAATTTGGGATTGGGGTGGTTTGGGATGGGGGGTGGGATTTGGGATTGGGGGGGGTTTGGAATGGGGGGGTGGGATTTGGGATTGGGGTGGTTTGGGATGGGGGGGTTCAGGAGGGAAGGGCTGTGTCAGGGGCAGGAGGGGGGGTCGGGTCTGGGAATGGGGTGTGAGCCGAGGTGGGACCCTCAGCCCTTCAGGGGGGGAACTTTATTGGATAAACCAGTTCAACCAGTCCCACCAGTCCCATGGGGAATCACACCAGTCCCACCAGTTCCATAGGGAACTGGGAATTCCTGGAGCTTCGGGGAGTCAGGAACGGACGATTGCCTTTCGACCCTCCCGGGGCGTCACCGTCAGGGAGCAGCTCCGGGGAGGAGACCCCGGGGGGGGCGGGGAAAGGACCGGAAAAAGGAAACTCTGGGGCTGAGGGGATTCCAAAGGTCGGGAGGTTCCAGAGGCCGGGAGAGCCCGGATCTGACAGTGAGATTCCTGAGCCAAGGGGATCCCACGCTGGGATGGGAGGGATCCTGAGCAAATCCCTTTACCCAGAAGTGACCCGCACGGTGACCATCAACATCTCCAACAGGACTGAGAATGTCACGCTGGACAGGCCCAGGTGAGGGGTTGGGGGCAGGGAGGACCCCCGGGGTGCCAAAGGGGCGGGTCCGGGTGGGATCTTCATCATCTTCATCATCTTCATCATCTTCATCATCTTCATCCTGGGGTGGGACCTTCATACCCGGGGGGGGTCATATCCCAGGGGTGGGTCCATCCCCTGCTGCTCCGGCACCTCCCAGTGACCCCAGCACCATCTCCCAGTGACCCCAGCACCATCTCCCAGTGACCCCAGCACCTCCCAGTGATCCCAGCTCCTCCCAGTGATCCCAGCCCCTCCCAGTGATCCCAGCACCTCCCAGTGATCCCACCAGCACCTCCCACTGATCCCACCCCCTGTTTCTCCCCCCAGGACTTACTCACCCAGTGGCCACTGCTCCGTCCCCTCCCACCCCGAGGTGCCCCCCGGCTGTTCCACCACCTGTGAGTTCTCCAGCTCCTCGTCCCCGGGCTGCTCCGGGATCCTGCTCTACTCAGCCAAGAAGTTCCTGTTGGGCATCTGCTTCTCCAACCCCCTGGAAGACAACAATTCCCCCCGGGAGCTGGGCCTGGAGCTGTCCCTTAACCGGCGCTTCCAGGGCATGTCCCCAAAGGACATCTACGAGCACATGTCGGGGAGGAACATCGACCCCATCTCAGCAAAGACCAGTTTTCACCACGTTCCCCTGAACATCTGCCAGGATCCCATCGTGGTGACCCTCGACCCCCTCAAGGTGGTCGCCTCCATGTCCAACGACCGCAGCGCTGTGATCAGCGTGGTGGTGAGGGAGCTCGGAGCGCCGATCTCCTTGAGAAACCTCTAGAAACTTCCAGAAGCTCCCGGACACGCCTAGAACTCATAGGCATGAGCCGGAATCCAGTAAAGACCTCTAGAACGCCATAGACACCCCTAAAACCCCTTAGACACCTCTGGGACCCCATAGACACCCCTAGAACCCCATAGACACCCTTAGAAACACACAGACAGCTCTAGAACCCCATAGGCACCCCTAGAACCCCATAGACACATCTAGAACCCCATAGACCCCCCTAGAACCCCACAGACCCCTCTAGAACCTCATGGACCCCCCGTTTTTGGGATCCCCCCCCAGTCCCACCCCCCCCTTCCCTTTTTGTTTTGCTCAATAAAAGGGGAATTTTTGCATTTGATCCGCAGAGCCGAAAACTGGGAATTTGGGATTGGGGGGTAGTTTGCGATGGTGGGGTGGGATTTGGGATTGGGGGTGTTTTGGAATGGGGAATGGGATTTGGGATTGGGGGGTGGTTTGGGATGGGGGGGTTCAGGAGGGAAGGGCTGTGTCGGGGCGGGGGGGGGGGTCGGGTCTGGGAATGGGGTGTGAGCCCAGGTGGGACCCTCAGCCCTTCAGGGGGGGAACTTTATTGGATAAACCAGTTACACCAGTCCCACCAGTCCAATGGGGAATCACACCAGTCCCACCAGTCCCACCAGTCCCAGCCCATCCCAGGATCAGCCCCTCGGGATCACCAAATCCAGGGGATTTTGGGATCTCTTTGCACCCAAAACGCCCCGGCCGTGGGCAGGGAGGGGAAGGGCCGGGAAGTTTTTTCGAGCGGCTGCGGTGAAAATCCCTGATTTCTTGGAATTGCCGGAGCTTTGGGGGGTCGGAAATGGACGTTTCCTCTTGGACCCTCCTGGGGCGTCACTGTCGCTGTCAGGGAGCGGCTCTGGGGCGAGGAGACCCCGGGGGGGTGGGGGGCAGATAAAACGCTGTCCCAGTTAGGACATCTGGGACCAGTTCATTCCTTTGATGTGTGTAACCCAAACCGTGCATTCTACAGCCTTCCAGGCCATTTCCCAGAAACTGTTATCAACGAACCGTTTACACCCTCTGCCCAGAGCAGCCCCTGATTCCTCAGGCCCTAAACTGCCAAGAGACCTGAGAGACGGGAGGATGTTTTTGTCCTCACACCCAATTGAGGAACCCCCCCCGCCCTGAGGGAGGGACTGGGCATTCCTGCCTGAACTGGAGAATATATAATCTGGTGGTCTTGGGACCTTTTTTACCACTCGTGGGATCCAGAGGAAGGCTGTAGATCACCGCTCTCGACCACACTGAGACCACCTCTCTCAACCAGACTGAGACCACCACCCACGACCAGCCTGCAGACCACCACCCTCGACCAGACTGCAATCACCATCCTTGACCAGACTGCACCAGCCCTCTCACCAACAGGTTTTTTTTCCCCCTCTCCCTTTATACTTTGGACTCAGGGAGGCCCAAAGAACACCCCTCTGTCCATGCCCCAGGGTGCTGGGTGATAAATTTGAGTTTTGTGGGTTAAAACCAAACTGTTTGTCTGTAAAATCGTACTTATTGTATTATTTTACTAAATTGTTATTCTGACTTATAATCTCTCTTTTGAGTTGGGTTCATTTTCCCCCTGCTGGTTTTACCTTTTAAACCAGCACAAGCGCTGAGGGGATCCTAGAGCTCGAGAGGTTCCAGAGCTGAGGAGATCCCAGAGCTGAGGAGATTCCAGAGCTCAGGAGATTCCAGAACCGAGGATGTCCCAGAGCTCAGCAGATTCCACAGGTGAGGATGTCCCAGAGCTCGGGAGGCCCCAGAGGCCGGGAGAGCCCGGATCTGACGGTGAGATTCCTGAGTCGAGGGGATCCTGTTCTGGGATGGGGGAGATCCTGAGCAAATCCCTTTTTCCAGAAATGACCCGCACGGTGACCATCAATATCTACAACAGGACCCAGAACGTCACCCTGGAATACCCCAGGTGAGGGGTGGGGGCAGGGAGGACCCCCGGGGTGCCAAAGGGGCGGGTCCGGGTGGGATCTTCATCATCTTCATCATCTTCATCATCTTCATCATCTTCATCCTGGGGTGGGACCTTCATACCCGGGGGGGGGCATATCCCAGGGGTGGGTCCATCCCCTGCTGCTCCGGCACCTCCCAGTGACCCCAGCACCATCTCCCAGTGATCCCAGCACCATCTCCCAGTGATCCCAGCACCTCCCATTGGTCCCAACACCTCCCAGCAGTCCCACCAGCACCTCCCAGTGACCCCAGCACCTCCCAGTGATCCCAGCACCATCTCCCAGTGATCCCAGCACCTCCCAGTGATCCCAGCCCCTCCCAGTGATCCCAGCACCATCTCCCAGTGATCCCAGCACCTCCCAGTGACCCCAGCACCTCCCAGTGATCCCAGCCCCATCTCCCAGTGATCCCAGCCCCTCCCAGTGATCCCAGCACCATCTCCCAGTGATCCCAGCACCTCCCAGTGACCCCAGCACCTCCCAGTG